TGTATATCGCTTCATGTCCTTAGCTTCGAATAATGCCCTCTGGTCGAGTCGTGCGGCCTTCAGCAAAATGGGCATCAGCAGTATCTTTTCTGACTCGAGCGTCAACGGCTACCTGGCGAAGAACCCTAAGATTTATCCTAAGCTATTTCGCTACCGGTTCGACCCTAATCCCAATGTTCAGCGGTCCATGAATACCATCTGGAAGGCCCTGGTCAAGGATCCGATGGAAGTTATTGAGACCCATTTTGATGAGATCATGAATGATCTGTTGAGGAGCCTCTTGGCGGGTCGGGAATGGAGGGTTCGGCAGGCAAGTTGTACTGCAATCGCCGATCTAATCCAGGGTCGTCAGCCCGAAAAGTACGCGCAGTACATGGATGAAATCTTTACCAAGGCCTTCAAGCTTTTAGATGATATTAAAGAGACCGTTCGAGCTTCAGCATTGAAGCTTTGCCAGACGATTACCAATGCGATTATCCGCACACTGGAGACAAGCGACACTGATACCAAGCGAGCTGAAACCATGCTACGAAGCGCTATCCCATTCCTATTGAGTGATAAGGGCATGGAATCCGGTGTTGAGGAGGTCCAAGGATTTGCCATCGGAGCCCTGATTCAAATGATCCGAAAAAGCCCAGGCGGACCATTGCGGCCGTTCATACCCCACATGATGGAACAGTTTCTGAATTCTTTGAGTTCATTGGAGCCTCAAGCAGTCAACTACGTTCATCTAAACGCCGATAAGTATGGTCTGACAGGCCAAGATATCGACAAGATGAGATTGTCCAGCATTCGAACATCTCCCATGATGGAAGTGATTGAAAGGTACCTCATAGACATGCTGGATGAAGAGAGTATGAAAGAGTTTGCCACGAGGCTTGAAGGTGTGTTGCGCTCGGCCGTTGGGCTTCCATCTAAGGTTGGCTGTAGCCGGGTTTTGGTCCTTTTAAGCATGCGGTCCATGCTCTTCCGCCCCTATGCAGATCGTTTCATACAGCTCCTCGGCAAATTCGTGGTGGATCGCAATGACACCGTCAGTGCATCCTACTGTACATCTATTGGCTATCTCCTGCGTCTCGCCTCGGATAATCGAGTGCTAAAGACAATCGAACATGCCAAAGAACTATACATGACCGCCGAAGACTCTAATCAGCGGGTCATTTCAGCCGAGATTTTACAAGCTGCTTCGAAGTTGTCTAATGACCGGTTTATGGCCTTCGCTACGGCTGCACTACCATTCATATTTGTGTCCAAATGTGACTTGGATGAGCACGTCAGAGAGGTGTTCGAGAAGACGTGGCAGGATAATGTCGGAGGCAACCGCACGGTGTCTCTCTACATCAAGGAAATTACCGACTTGGTGTCCAGCAATTTAGAATCGGCCCGGTGGGCCATTAAGCATACGGCAGCTTTGGGGCTTGCAAAGGCTATCATGTCGCTGGACTCGGAAATTGATCTCTCGACAAGCGAGTATGTTTGGCCTGTGCTGGAGAGAGCTGTGGCCGGGAAAACGTGGGAGGGCAAAGAAGTTGTGTTAGAAGCGTTTGTGAAGTTCTCGGGCCAGGCGAAGAAATTATGGCAAGAGAAGCCAACGCTTGGAGAAACAATGAAGGTAGGCCTTTTCCTCCGAAACATTTGAATCTTCGATGGGCCGCTCTCTGACTGCCGGTGAAATTGTTCCCTTCTAGACTATCACTATCAGAGAAGCGAAGCGGAATAACCCTGCATATCGCCCCCATGCGCTTACTGCTCTTGGCGGAGTGGCTCAAGCACGCAAAGACTTGGATCTGATGTCAGACGCTATTGCCATTGTCACCCACGTGCTGGATGATGTTGAAGATCAAGGAGATCCAATGGATGTGGATTCAGGCAAGGATCAAAAGCCGAAGTATGTTCCCTGTCTGTATCCCGTATGCTCTCAGTCCACGCGTTTCCTTTCTACTCATCCCTCTGTTCTCGGGGTTACTTTTGATTCGTTTTGATATGTTGGCGGAAATAAATCCGAGAGATACTCCCGTGTGACTCGGCGAGGATTCACGGCAGTTGCTGATTACCTCTGCAGACAAACCCTGGACGACACGTTGGCGGCTTGCGTGGTATGTATCTTACAATGCCTCAGTTTTGCATCGCATACTTCAGCAAAGAGTGGGTTCCCCTGCAGTTGGCATCTCCACCCAATCATCAATATGCTAACGGAAATCAAGCCCTCCACGGACATCTGGATGAGTCGAGACCGGTGTTGCACAGAATCCTAGTGGGCCATGGGGGCAGAAACGTGCAGGTTACATTGTACCGGGAGCTGCGCGCAGTCTTTGGCCAAATTGGGGCGTGGGCATCGGACCGGAGTGGCGAACCCGATCGCCGTGGGCCCCAGGAGTCCTTGGCGGCGCTAACAGTAGAGATCTTCGCTCATGAGATAGACCTCTCCGTTGAAGCCGTTCGAGCTGAACGCGCCCGAGCGGCTGTCGCATACTTTGAGCTCTGCAAGCAGACGGAACTCCCGATCGATCAGGCCATCCAGAAACTGGTGAAAAGCTGGCGGGAAGAGGAAAGATCGGGACCAGTGCGACAGATCTTGGATCGGGCACTCGTCCATCTGCAATGATTCCTGTGACATGGGTACGTATGCGGGGGAAAGAATGTCTCAGAGTCGGAAGATTGATCATGGGACTTTCTAGTACTGTATGTGTATCATCCACCTTAGTCCGTACCTCTACTGGGTATTGTCAGGAACCCGAGCCACTCCTGAATGTGCCCGTCCCAAACTGGAGGCATGCACAGGAAAGGGGCGGGGAGCGGTTGTAAGGGTGTCGTTTGGGCAGAAGCGCCGGAGGACTTACAATAAATCAGCTAGATAGATATCTAGATTATAGCCAAGGTGCATAATACCCAACCTTAACTTGCCTCTGTAGTGTAATGCAGACCTGCGCCTAACCAATCATCCTTCGTCCAAGCCACCACTGACCGGAGAATGGGATGTCCGTCCCATGGACAAATCTGAGGAACTGAATGGAAGGAGTAAGTACGAGAGAGGAAGCGGTGACGGGGGATCTTGTTTGCTTTCAATTCGCAGCGACTGAGCGTGGTTGCGGGCAAGCCCGAGGAATCTAGATTGGCCCAGGCGCGTCTAGCAGAGCAAGGCTAGACTCACCTGGGTTAGCACCGGCTATTGGTACAGACGCAGCTTGGTAATTCATGGTAATATCTGCTGTATGTAGACCGAACATACGCCGGTTGTTACGTGGCCCGTACGCCTTCTCATCGCGTAATGTAAGTTACTAAGAAGTGTCCATCCATCCATCCGACGGACCAGGACCAAGCCAGGGGGGACTATCTACAAAGTAGTTAGTAGTAAGTACATACTACTAACTACTGACTCCCCCGCCATTAAGGTTGGCAAGGTTGGGTGGGTGCGCTTTCAGCTCTTCCCACTTTTCTCAACTGCCACTATTTGAATATAGATAGTTAGATACATCCATTTGTCTGGCTAGCATCCTTCTGGCAGCCACCCAGCGTGGCTCGGCCCCGAAAAAATATGACGTGAACCTACCAAGGATTGGGTTAGATGCTCCAATTCCAGTCCGGAGCTTGCACCCATCGTGGCTTCGCGAGTCTCAAAGTGGATGCATCGTCCGATACCGACCCAAACCTGACCAGATGAGACAGAGCCATCATGACTCGTTCACGGTCCCCCGTATACTATCGGCGTGGCCGAACTCACCTGACGCCTTTCCCCTCCCCCAAAATCCAGCCTGAACCGTGGGCCCTGGTCTATATTCAGGTCGCGACTATAGCCTGCCAGTGCTCACGGAGGGAACATATCGATCAATCAATTAATCAATCAATCAATCGTAAACAGAAGACAAGCTGCGAGACATGTGTCTCATGAAGTAGATCATGGTTAGTACTACTCCACTTGAAAAGTTCCTGGACCTAATTGGATGCCAGGAAGGAGATGTTGGACCCCAAGGTTGAGGAAGGAAAAGCATCGTCCCATCAGCATCCTTGGTAGCAACTTTGCTCTGGCTAGCATTACTGGTCTGTTCCTTCTTCTCTCGGCCCCGGCGGGCTTTATTTCAAATCTTCTTTCTTTTTACCCTCGCTGCCACATGGTTGGCATCTGCAATCCATGGTCTAGGATAGTCGAGTACTATTTCCTTAGTACCTAGTAGATTCTGTATCCTAGGGCCTTCATTGGAACCAAGTCTCTTCGCCTAAGATACGGGCCTAACCACATCCATCCCGGGGGGTTGTTTCCCCTCTCCCTTTTACCTCAGTTCGCCCTTGATCACCCACAGACAAACACGCCATTCGCGTCAAGGTGGCAGTTGGGCTGCTGCCTCTCCATTCGCCTGTTCGCAGTTCGCCTTTCACCCTGTCTAATCCCATCGGAACCGCCACTGTGGACAGGGCTGGCTGATGATCTTTGAGAACGCCTCTTTTATTCCATTTTATTTTTATTTTTATTTTCCATGGCGTTTCTGCATCAGCTCCGTCTTGTACCTGATCCTATCTTTCCCTTTCTCTCACCCTCCTCACGAACTACTACTTTTCTGGACAGCTCTGCAGACTCCAGACTCCAGACTCCAGATTCCCACTCCTATCTTTCGTTCCCGTTTTTTTTCCCCTTCTCTTCTTCCATTTAGACTTTTTTCTTTTTCTACCTACTTTTTTTTTTTTTCCATTTTTTCCCAATTGTTTTTTTCAGCCTCCATTATTCGCTCCACCCTATAGATAATCCCTTTTAAGGATGCATAAACGACACTACTTCCGATTTCGTTTATCTTCATCCGTGGCCCCCAGCCCATTTGCCTCTTAACTTACCGAACATGGTTGTTTCTTTTCATCTATAGTCACCCGACTGGCATCCTCACTCCACTTTATTTTCAATCTCTTTTTCTTATACTTTCTTCTTCCTTTTGATGCACTCAGTTGCTCTTTCTTCTTTCACAATCTCCCATAGACTCCACACGTTATATAGTCTAGGAAGCCTATAGAGTATGGGTGCCTACGCTCCCGTCACCATCCAGACATCTCTTGTTGATGCGTCATTCCCAGCGTTAGCCCTAAAAGCGACTTCTTCCATGGCAGCCGTCAGTATATCGATGACAACCCGTTCTGGTCGGTCTTCCAGGAAGCAGCCTCTAAGATTGCCTATCATTGCCCCCAAGAGTTGTCTGGTGAGCCCCAGCGCCGGCTTGGACCCTCCGACGCCCAAGAAGGTTTCGGTCCGCCAGCACCGACTGCGCTTCCCACCCCGTTCCCGAACTGGTTGCTGGTATGTCCGCTGGCGCGGGAAAAGCCTTCATTTCCCGTTCTGTGGGTATCTCTAATGTCATCTTACCCTCCTAGGACGTGTAGAGTGAGCCTATCCTCCCGTGTCAGAAGCAAATGCCGTGATATCCGACGTTCCGTACAGCGAGATGCTAACTTGTTTTGCCTTGTTTGGAAGTAGAGCCGCAAAGGTGAGTGCTTGGGTTTCCCGAAGAGACAGTCACATCTCTGCAAGGGCCTTTTCTTCTGCCTGCTCCAATGCGACGATATACTTACTAAGTCGCAATTTCAGTCAAGTGCGACGAAGTTCACCCTCAGTGTAATGTGCTTCATCCAGATCCAATGTGAGCGCTGCGCTGTTCCATGCTGACCTGATCCGATATCCAGCAATGTGCTCGTCTGGGCCATGTCTGTGACTACCAACCACGATTGTGCTTCCGAGATGATACCCGTCGCGTAAGGGAGCGCATGCCGGATGTTAGGACCGCGGGAAACGTGGTTTGGGACCGTGAGCAGCCGTAACCCTCTTTTACCCTTGGATTGTGTCTAATAAATTCATGGTTTTTCGTCTCAGCGACAGTCACTTCGCGGAAAACTAGCGTGCCTCCAGCTACATGCGACTTACTCCCGCCCTTTGCGGCACTCACATCAGATGAAGAGCGGGAGAGAAAGGCACAAGCAGCGGTACCTGGAACTTACCATGTGATAGCCATCCCAGAGAGTTTCTCTCGACTGCCTGAGTATGCAGACGCGGACTCTGAACAAGACTCTGGGAACGATGCTCTGCTCGAAAACGCTAGTGCCAGTAATCCCCCGATTGAAGATGACAATTGGGTCCATGGTCCAAATGTCGTTGTATTGAAGAGCTTCAAGTCTGCACGAAGACATTTGTACCCAGACAGAAGAAGTACCCCTCAATCACCTGAATCAGACCAGGGAAGCTTCTCATTATCTGCACCGTCGGTATCGGAATTGATCCCGGACTATCCGGCCACCAGTGTACAGCATATACAGGAAAGCGCCGAACCCAATTATTATCAAATGCTTCTTCTCGAACATTTCCGTCAGTTCGTGTGTTTCCAGCTCCTTCCAAGCACTGGTCTTTTCAATATCAATGGTCTGGATGCGACTGTGTTTGAACGTGAGGCGTCAAACTTCCCTCCTGTGCGTAATGCTTGCCATATTGGGTGTCGGATAAATTTGTATGGAATCTAATCTCTAAATGTTCTAGCTATACCATACAATGATGGCTTTATCCGCTCTCAGTCTGGTTCGCCACGGGGGTGGCCATCACATCGATGCCTCATTTTACTACGATCGGGTTGCCGCTCTTTCCCATGGTAGTCTCTGCAATGAAGACCTCTTGTCCGATGCTCTGTATCTGACACATTTTCTGATGCTTGTTTATGAGGTGAGTTTTTTTTTGGTTAATCCCTTTCCTACTCATACTCGCGCCTAAGGCGTTGCGTATAATCAATAGGATTTTAACGCTGACTTCGCTAGGTTGTGGCCGCCAACCCCGGTGGTTCAAACCTTTGGTCACACCACGTCTCTCGGCTGCTTCATTTGGCCTTGCTGCGGCAATCAATTCCGGGGGCTGAACGATTCCCTTGCATCGCTTGGTGGGTATGCCACGTGGATCTATATGCGCTGTTCAGCGGTGCAGGCACGGGGGAGTTTGTCCGCGCCGTTCTCGACAACCAGCTGCTACTAGACTTGCAGTCGCTGTGTTGTGCAGTTGGGCCCAGTGACTCGGATTATCCACAGGCTGATAACAGCTTACCTCTGATCATGCGATTATATTACGACACCTTTACATTAGCCATCCGAATCGGACTTCTCGCCGTCGAGACGCGCGATGCCAAAGACTCTTACCTAAACAACTACTTGGGCTCTCGGCGACAGGAACTAAGGGAGGTACGTGATGTGCTCATAAGGCTATGGGGCCAGCAGGAGGTGGGGTACTTGTACCAGAATCAAATTAGTCTTTCAGAACAGTCGCAGTGTCTGTTGCAGCCGGTTAGTCAGTCCCCTTCGCTTCACCCGAGCGCGTGGTGTTAACGGCTGTTACCATCTAGCTTGCTATTCTGTATCACACCAGCCTGCTCTTCTCCTCAACCAGTCTCTGGGCAGGACAGCGGTTGGAGTCTGGGGCTGCCTCAGACGAGGAGATTCACCACCACGCGATGCGAACCTTACAGATCGTATCGGGGATCGTGGAGAAGGGGCGAGCAGGGGACCGGCGATTCATTGCCTTTCCCATATTCCTGGCGGGCGCTGTGGCTCCAACAAGTGGGCTGAAAATGATGGCCTTGGAGCTACTATCCAACCTAGAGGAGGGCGAAATTGGGTATAATTCGGCTACAACATGTCAGATGTTGCAGGTATTTTTCGAACGGCAAATCCAGCATTCTCAGCGTGGAGGCCATGCGCTGGAGGTCGAATGGGCGGAGGTGCTAGCCGAGCATGGGCGACCTTTAGTCAACTACGGTTGAGTCATTTCGGTATAAGTTTGCGAGTTCTCGGGGGGGGGACTACTTTGGAGCTGGAGTTGTAGGATCTGGGATTTACTCTCTTGGGATATATTTCTTCTTTTCTTTTTCTTTTTTTTCGAGTTGGTTTGGATTGCGGATATAGACGGGGCCCGTATACGCCAGCGCCTTTTTTAGCATTTTTGATAGGTCTTACGAAGTGAACGAAGTCAGAATCATAATAATAAACCACCATGACCAGATGGGATTACGACTCATGCTTTTTCATGCATAGTGGTCATGTTGATCCACATCCGGACTATGTTACTTAATTGTTTATTACTTAAGGTACCGCGGCGGGCCGATCCCGATGCTCGGGGAGGAGACAAACCGTCTAGATACTTACTATTTACTGACTACTAAGTATATCTCAGGGTCTCCACCGGCAGTTGGAAAAGCGACACACAGCCAGACCTGGTGCTAGTAGCAGCCACATGCAACCCTGGGGTATCGCATGGTTCAGGGAAGGCCAAACCTGCAGGACCGTGAAGGAGGAGATCAACCATTTCCGACTGATAATTCGCGGAGAGCTGCCCCTCATGCACCGTTGGGGCCTTTGCGCTGAGCCAATGATGCGCCCGCCAGCATCCCCCTCGGCGGCTAATCTGTCGAGCCACCAGCTTTGCCCAAGAGGAATCTCGCTGCCTCCTGCTTCTTTCCTTGTCCTTTCCTCCCTCTCTCTGCATTGAAAGTTGGTCCTTTGTTTGGCTTCAAGAACGACGAAGAATGAGCGACAGTCGTTGACAACCCCCCGGCACACGGCATCTCTTACCAGTCCGTCTGTCCTTTCCCCCGCATGTCCCTCTCTATTTCCTGTTTCTTTTCCCTCCTCTCTTCCTCCTACTTTCCCTCGTCTTTTAGTCTCGTCGCATTCATTCATTCTTGGATGGGCGCTCTTGCTCGTTCGAGAAAGCTAACCTTTACGTCTCTCTCTAGCTATCTTCCGTTCCACTGATCTCCAATCTATTCAGCAAAGACCTAGGACAGTATGAGTCGTCCCAGCGCAAGCCGTCAGGGTTATCGCTCCCAGGAGGAGCTCTTCCTGAATACTGCATCGGGGCAACCGCAGGCCGATTCGCCCGTCATTGAACCGCTGCGCATTGGCAAGCGAGAAACCCCTTCCCCCGCGTCGGCGCATAGCGCCCCTCTGCCCTATCCCGACGATAGGCAGAGACCCCAGCATGTTCGTGGCTCAGGTTCGAGTGGCTCTAGTCCAGTATCTCACGGTGGAGCCGCTCTGGGAGACTCCCCCACAGTTCCCAGCAATATGTCGGCTGGCTCCGGCATATCTCAGACTTCCGATTATATGGCTTCTCTGCGGCTGCGTGAGCCCAAGCAGGCCACCCTAGCTGAGCGACGAGGCAATGTCCCGAAACCCTTGCCCGAATCCCCCGCAGGGGACTCTCCGGACCGCGAAGGACTATTTTCACGACTTCATCAGCGCATGCCGGGCCTGGCAGCTCCAGCTCCAGCCCCAGCTCCAGCTCCAAACATTCAGTCCCAGTCGGCTGGTTATCCAGACCACCGCCAGCAGTATTATCCACCTCCTCAAGCTTCAAACAAACCGGCAGCAGCACACAATTTACAGCCACCAAACAATGCGATCAACCGGATAAGCTCAACGGCGTCAAACTCGACAACTCGTGCTCAACGCGGCTCTCCGCCGCCTCCAGAAACCCCGGTGGTTGAGCCAGGGCAGCATGCGACGTCTGATATCGAGGCGCGGTATGCCGCCTCGGGGATTGCGGGAACATCGACATTAGCAGGACTTCAGTCTCAGAGTGCTGCTGCCCAGAGAAGAGCTGAGCAATATGCCGGCCAGCAGCCCAGAATTCAACAGCCAACTCCACCGGTCCCAAGGCCATGGACCCCGACGGAGCAGCCAGGAAGCCAGCCACATGGGCCACCCACTGTCTATCAAGGTGCTGAGGTCGTTTCCGAAGGTAACCCTCCGACCAGTTCCACGCCTCCTATGCCTGCAGGGGCGTCAGTGCAGGCCCAGCCAGCGTCCCAACCTACCAGGATTCCTCCGAATGCACTAGAGCAAGATCTGGAAAGAATGCGCATAAGCTCCTCCCCTCCTCCGGCCTACTCGAGTGTCCCAGGACCCGTAGTATCGCAGGGTTATCCGAATGAGAAGCAGCGTGCTCCAGTATCGACGAGCCAGCCCAGCTCGTCAACTGGGCACCCCGCGACCTCTGGACCGGCAAACGGTGCCAAAGAAGCCAATGATGCAAACGGTGCTGCAATGGCCACTGGTCCGTTCGTGTCAGCCCATGATCACCCAGCATTTGCAAATGAATCAAGGCAGCAACAGCAGCCGCAGCCGCAGCCGCAGCAGAAGCAGTCACCCCCACCTCAGATGCAGCCGCAGCCACAAGAGTCGAGATACTCTCCTCCAAATGTCGCTCAAACTCCAGTTCAGAATGGGAATCATGCGATCGTGCAGCAGACCATCGTTAGCAATCTACCAACGCCATCTGTGGCACCATCCTCACCTCCACCGCTACCAGAAGGTTGGATCGCTCATCTCGATCCCAATTCGGGTCAATACTACTATATCCACCTCCCGACTCAGTCCACACAGTGGGAGTTCCCCAAGGGTCCGACTCCTCTGAATCTCAACGACACCCCGCTATCCCCGGTAGGCAGCGTATATAGCAGCCATCCTCTAGCATCGCCCGCTTTATCAACATTCGGTAAACCCTTGGCATCTCCTGGTCTTCCCTTGACTCCAGGATTTGAGAGTTTACAGTCCCCAATTGTGTCAGGGTTCACTACGGGGCCCCCTCCAATCAGTGGGATCGATATGTACAAGGTTGCTCCTACAAATGGGGTCTATTTTGGCCCCTATCTCCGCTACACAAACATGGACGTAGAGCGTGGCATCTGGCTAGGCTCCATTCTCTTGGTGACAGATGCCGCACAGCCTCCCACCATTCATATTCACCAGAGTGTCGATCTGTCTCCAAATCCACGTCAGCTTAAAGCCATGCCAATTGCGGTTCATCAGCGATGGACCTTCTACAGGTACGAGATAGATTTACGTATGGAAGAGGCCGGACCTGCCAAATGGACTTACGCTATCACCTCACATCTTGGTTGCACCCGCTACGAGTTTCTAGTTGCGGGACGATACGAGACTGGTTGGCGCTTCATCACCACTTCAGGAAACGATTTCTCTATGAATGTGAATGCCAACGAGAGATCTCGCCTCGGCGGTGTAGGCTTCATGTGGAAAGACATCATGCAGAAGCATAATGAGATTGGAGGATTCCATGCCCAGCTGTGTCTGGGAGGCCAGATCTATGCCGATCGGATGTGGAAGGAGGTTCCATGTCTCAAACAATGGCTTGCACTCAGTGGGAAAGAAATCCGGAAGAAGACGCCATGGACAACTGCCCACGAAGAGGACGTCTCTCATGCTTACTTTCACTATTATACGAGCCATTTTGATCAGCCCTATCTTAGAGAAGCCTTTGCTCAGATCCCTTATGTTTGTCAGATCGATGATCATGATATGTAAGTCTGTGCCTTGCCCCCAAGACAGGAGCTCATGCTAATGAGGCTAGCTTCGACGGATTTGGTTCCTACCCTGAGCACATGCAGTTCTCCAATATGTTTAAGAATATTGGACGAGTAGGCATAGAGATGTATCTGTTGTTTCAGCACCATACCACACTGGATCTGCTCCGTAATTCTCAGAGCGACGTCGATCTGTTCACCATTACCGGCACTGGTTGGCATTTTGTCAAATACCTGGGGCCCGCTGTTGTTGCCGTCGGCCTTGACTGTCGCTCAGAGCGCAATCCTCATCAGGTTGTTGCTGGACCCACGTATCAGGGGATCTTCCCCAAGGTTGCCATGTTACCCCCAACCGTGCAGCATTGCTTGTGGATGCTTTCAGTGCCAATTATCTACCCGCGCCTGGAGACCGCTGAACACATCGCACACACCGTCGCTACGGGGAAGAGGGCAGTCACGGGGGCATATAATGCCCTTGGAAAAGTCACCAGCTCTGTGGCCGGTGTGGTCGGAGCCAAGGGCATGGTTGGGTCAGGGTTCGACTCGGTCAAACGGGCTGTGGGCAAAACCGGTCTGATGGGCGGAATCCTCAGCCCTTTCGGTGAACTTGACCTTTTGGATGAGTTGCGTGATCAGTGGACGCATGAGTCCAAGGTACGTGTAATCTCATGCTATATTTACTATTGGTGCACAACCACAGTCGCAGGACTAACCGCATGGATAGGATCTCGAACGAACCTATCTTATTCGCACCCTCCAGGGCATTGCCCATCAAAAGTCGCTCCGCATGACTTTCCTTTCGGGCGCCGTCAACGCCTGTGGTGCTGGACTCGTGCATGATCCGTCTTTCCCCTCCAACCATAAAACCATGTATCAACTCATATCGTCACCAGTGGTCAACAACCCTCCACCGTCATATGTCATCAAGCTTCTCCATGGTAGCAACAAACCCCTATATGTCCCAGCTAACGGTCAGCGCTCGACTCCCTCGAAGCCTACCGATACCAAGGAAGACATGCTGGAGCTGTTCCAGTCTGATGTTACCGGACAGCCTCGTGAACACCGGAAGCTGATTGGTCGTCGAAACTATGTTGCTATTGTTGCCTACGATCCGGATGTTGTCAACACGATGTACGGCCATCCAGGCCAAGGAAGTGGGAAGTTGAACCTTGCGGTGGACTATATGGTGCAGGGCGATGGGACATTTGGCGCTGTGGTCAAGTATGGGCCTGTGATTGTTCCTAGCTTGGAGCCAGGAAAGTGATGACACTTGGAGTACGTGTTATGATTGATGCCCTCATTGCATTCCCTCTTTCTTTGAGCTGTTTTCTTTCTATTTCTGTTATTCTGGTCTTTTGTTTTCTTCGTCTTCATCCAGTTGTTCTCTACTTTCTTTCGTACCGTTGTCTTCTTTTATTCAACATACCTGTCCCGCCCAGAATTTGTAGCAGCAAACGCATCGATATCCTTAGCAATGCTATTTCCTAATTTCTCTTTGTCACAACACAAGCATGTCCCAAGTATCCCAACGGATAATACTCTACGTTCTCTCATTCGACGCCTGTGGACAAGTAGTCACCCAGTCTCTCCCCACACTTGCCTCTCTATATTGTCAAATCGAACACAAATAGACATACTACCATCCACTCAGCTCTGTATATAACTCCTTGTGGATATACCTGGTTAGGCTGTTGGTTTCAAAAAGTCACATGATATGCAACTACATATATTCTGTACGACCCATACCTCATCAATACACGCCTACACCCCATACAGCGTACTAATCAGGCATCATAGTTGCACAGGAGAAATAATATCAATAATCAAAGAAATATCCAATTTCCTGCTCAGCCATCCATCCCATCATTATACGCAACATTCGATCAATACTACTAAGCCTCCCATAAGGATGCAAAGTAAGGCACCGATGCCCATGATGCAACTGCAAGCCCACATGAATATATATTTCATATATGTATGTACTATGACGATAGTCATCCTATAGTACTAATGAACTCGCCTTCTGAGAGGGGATGTTGCATCAACTACTAGTAGTAGTAGTGTCATATTGAACCCAGTATTAGGCTTAGCTGAGGTCACAACATACACACACACACACACACACACACACACACACACACGCACGCACACACATGCATACATTCCTAAATATTTTTTTACTAATATACAGTTGTATATTCATCGAAAGGGCCCGCATGGTATCACAAATTATAAGTGCTAGTTTGTCATGCGGTTTCAGAACCATCTTTTTGGGCGTTTTTCACTATGCGGCGGTGGTTTCAGTTCATCGGGGTGTCCCCCGCTGTCTAATGATGAGATTGGTTTTAAGTTATTCTGTGGGGATTGGAGGAGGCTTGCAGATCGGGTTCGGTTTTACTCGTGACCCTTGCTTGTGTTGTGGATCATGTGCTTGTGCTTATATGGCTCAGCTCAGCCCATCGAGTGCGATATTTGAGAGGATTGGTCTCAGGGGGTTTATGATTTCATAGGATTTAGCTAGCTGTATTGCTGCATTTGTGACTCGCTTATACTTAGGATATGAGTCGAATCCACCAACATTTCATACGTGCACTCGTTCCTACAGCCATGTATGACTTGCGTCGTCTCTTCGTCGTCAAGAAGAACATCGGGACTACGAATCCGACGCCCACCACCCCTTGCCTGCCCGGTCACGACCAGGAACGCAGAGCCCAACCCGCCAAAAGTAGTCCCGATGGGAGAATAAGAGCTCCCACAGGTGGTATCTAGACGGGATAAGTCGTCTAGGCAAATCAAATAAGCCTCGGTGTTTCATGGCGCTTTCCTGCACGTGCAAAGGTGCTTGAGAAGTATGCCCGTCTGACATATCGTGCTGCTCGGTAGATTCAGCGTCAGCCCAGCCAGCCCGCGACTTCGCATCTGCAGCTAGAGACGCCGATTCATGAAGAGCGACCGCCAAGGCCATTTCACCTTCCTCCCCTGATATGCATCGTGCATCGTGAGGGCCCTCGCAGAAGTGAACGTCATCCGCTGATGGGGGAAGATCTTCCTTGGAGATGAAGATCTCTCCCGCGTGCATCGCATACCCCCATTCTTCCAGTGGTAGGAGAGGCACAGGGTCATAAACATGCGTGACCCTGCGAAACCGCCATGCGGAGTCCTCGTCCAACCGGAATACCTTACCCAGGAACTCGGCAAAGGCCTTGTTTCCGACCTTCGGTTCTCCGAATGTCGTCACCGTAGGTTCCCAGCCTCGCAGCTGCATCTCAATACCAGCCAGCGCAGCAACCGCCCCACCAAGCGAGTGGCCAACTAGAACCAGTTCATAGTTGGGGTACTGCTCCCTTGCGGCTGCAACGTGGTCGAGGATCGTCGAGCGAGTGTTCTGCCACGAAGTGAAGAATCCGGCGTGGACAGTGCAATTGTAACAGCTTGATTCATTCTTTCCATCTTTATGTCCGGTGTTATACGGCACATAGGCTTGCGGGTAGGCAGATAAATCAACGATCGTGTTGGTAATGGAGTAGGTGCCACGGAAAGCGACAATGATACGGTTAGGTGACGGCGAGTGAGAAACCGCTATGTATCCACAAGAGTCCGAAAGAAACGGCCCAGTATTCCATGTCTAGCTAAAGGTTAATCATTCAAAGCCTCCTGCTCACGGCAGGACAACCTACGGTTATTAACTCAAACCCCTTGAGGTCACTGCAGTGGCTCAGGCACTGAAAAGGCTTCTGAAGCCCAGTGCTGCCAACGCAATAGGCGACATCGACCACACGCGCTAGCTCATCCAGAGAGTTGTAGGTCTCCTCGGGGATGGGGCGTAAATCCTGACCTGAAGGTATGTGGTCCGTTTCTAGGCGAATGAATGCGCGAATCGGCAAGAAAAAGGAGAAGTAGGTGAGGATTAAGTAGTAGGAATTGAACAACACATTAAGAGCTATCATAGCGCTGAGTGCTTCTTCATCGTCTTTGGTAGTATCTGCTGCGGTGCAGCAGCTGAAAGAGTTGTGGTTGAAACTTGGGAAAGTGAAGAGAGACTTGGTAAACCCGTGACGTCGAGAATCTGGGGAACCCTGACTTGACCCCGTGATGCGGAGTCGGTCACGATGTACGTATCCTTGCGTAAAGTTACGGGACGATCATACCTACATATTACGCCGTCACAAATTAGTCACTACGGAATATAGGGTAACTAGCAGTTGAATTGTTACTTTATGAAGGGCCATCAAATACGAAGCACTTCGAGTGCCCTTGTTATTTATGGTGTGTACATGGAATGGTCAGATTCTATTTACCTGAAGCTATTTTTCAAGCTCCATATTCTTGTGACGCAGTGAAGGATCCAATGCATTCAATATGCTGGAGCCTTTGAGCTAAATCTAGCACGTCTAGCACAACGAATAGTTGTCTAGATGGTCCAGATAACAACGCGGCCATCGACTCCGCTCGCTGTTATTCAAAAGTTAGCGCAACCTCAGAATAACTTTTCCGGGGAGTATCTCTTACTGCTGAACTTGCGGACGACGCCGTCGGCCTCCTCGTAGACCCTAACGGTGCTAATAGTATTCTGATGCGTAGTCTTAAGTTGGGTGTCGGCTTGGGTTTGTCCCTTGAGGTCCATTTGGCGGAACATATTAAGAGCAGACTCCTCGCGAGCGCTCCCAGCACCCGGCCCTGCCTTGCTTTCAATGGTCCCAGCAAGTTGCCATCCGTTCTCGTCACCGCGAAGGCGGTACGGTTCGCAATCCTGTTAATGCCTGTTAGCGATATATTTTGTAATGGATCCTCTGCTGAAGTTGAATTTTTAGGAGACATACGTGGCCTGCGGCGATGATCTCGTTCTCGCCGTTCCAAATTAGACTGTTGAAAGGCAGAAGACGAGTAGCGATAGTCAACATCGCCCGAGGCGGCTGTTCCGGCGCACTAGGGTATACGACGGTGACACTGCTATCATGGCCAGTAAAGGCAAGTGCATCTCCACTAGGAGAGAAGGATACACCTTGGATCCAACCAGCCGAGTCATTCAGGAATTCACCACAAATTGTGTTAAAGGGGAGCCGTTCACCCCAGGCGCTGGGCTCCGGGCGCGTGTCGACACCCTTGATGAAGCTGGAAAGCACCCGGGCATGAGAGTCAGTCGACCCCGCAGCCAGGAGAACGGAGTTTGGATGCCAAGCAAGGGTGGTAATAGTGCTGCGGATGGGCTTCTTCAAGTGCTTCGAGATCCACCAGTCATTCTCCTCTTCAAAATAGCACACCGCGATCACGCGAGCACCAGATCCAACAGCGAACTTCTGTTCAGAAGGTGACCACCGTACAAATGTAGCAGCCCTGTTTATCCGAAGAAGAACCAGCGTTGGCTTCCAACCCGTGGGGGTCCGTTCCCAGACGTAGGCGTTGCGGTCTGTTCCCGTGGTCACTTAGATGGGACTATTGCAGGACAAGGGGATGAGGATAACTTACCCTGAGAACAGGTAACAATACGTCCACTGTTGGGAGCGATATCCACTCCAGTCACCGTCTTCTCATGGCCCTTGAGTTCATCGGTCAACGAGAACTTGTTGCCGGACTTCTGATAAAGCTCCACATTGCTTTCCCGCGCAACTGCAAGGGTCGCCTTATCCGGAGAGAAAGAATGATCGGCAATTGGGTTATGGAAGAGGTGGTGAGCTTCGGGAGCGGCCATGGTTAGTAGACGACAGGAGGAGCTCTCTACTGCCGTGTGAATGAGAGGGTAGAATTGAGGTAAAGTACGATGGTTACCAACTGGAAAGGGGGAGGGGGAATGGTGGGCAGTATACCACAGCCAAGCTAGGCCCCCGAACGATGACGCGGGCGGGATTGGCCATGATTAGATAATATGTCACATGACCCTTCGCGCTCAATCCAGGTTCAACTTCATTCGCATCACAAGCTGTGCTATCTTCGGGTTTCACTTTCCATTGGCTTCCTTCCCTGGACGGGGTGTTCTTTTCGGTCTTTTGCTCGAGGTATTGTTGGGAAGCTGCTCTATTTTCCCCTCGGGTCTTCTTTGTCGCTCTGCAGTGATGGCAACCAGAGTAATTCCAACGCGCGGTGGTGGTCAAGGTAAACCCGCTTCAGCCACCGGACTGCCTAACCAAACGTAAGTCTTGGATACTACTTCTTAAATCTAATACGGGCACCCTGACTGATCCGATTTTGCAGTTTGTATTGTACCAATCTCCCAGACAAGCTGCGCAAGCATGACCTACGGTTATCCCTCTATATGCTTTTTTCAACCTACGGCACCGTTCTCGATGTTGTCGCCATGAAGACCCAAAAGATGCGCGGTCAGGCCCATATTGTTTTTAAGGATGTCCAGGCTAGCACACAGGCTATGCGGGCCCTCCAGGGTTTTGAGTTCTTCGGCAAACAAATGGTATGTTTTTGCATAGTGCAGTGCGGTTGTTCCTCGCTCATTGACTCGGGAATATAGAAAATTGTGTATGCTAAAGGTCCCTCGGACGTCATTGCTCGGCTGCGCGGAACGTATAGTGTGCCCACTACAACATCTGCCGGTCAAACCACGGGAGCATCCACAGAGCTCCAGAAATCGATTTTTAGCGGCCCCCCCGGATCGGCGGCTTTGCCGTCGAAGCCCAGCGGAGAAGTCAATGGAGAAGCTCAAGCAGGCCAAGGTGTCAAACGGCCTCGTGAGGAGGAGAGCGACGAAGAGGAAGCCCCTATGGATGAGGACAGTGATGTGCCAATGGAAGCTTCATCGGATGAAGATTAATTGCTTCGCTTATGTACCGGGAATACGTTGGCCAGGCCAGGGGGATCCAACCTGAGAGGGGAGGAAGTACTCTGGATCAATCTAAACTGTGTGACGCAGTGCCTTGGAATGTCCTCATGCCTTCGACTGTGAAGAGTTCCTTGGGCAGCTGAAGACCGAGACGGTTACCCACCAACCCGAGCCAGATCATGAGATAAGTCTCGGAAGTGAGACAGAGCTGTCCTGCAATGTGCCTCATCGCATCCGTTGTTTGGCATGGATGAACGAAAAACGCTGGAGTTCCGGAGTCTGGATGATACTACGAAGCATAAGCTCCAGCTTGGGCTAGGGATTCGAGATCTTGCACATACGCCAAAACTAATACCACCCATGATGCCAATGCTCTGGAGTTCCTTTCTGTATTGTTCCGGTACCAGGTGTTGGTAGACCGCGTCAATTCCCAGCGGCCCCGGATGGTTGTCCTGCCGTAACTGGAAATACAAGACAGGGACGTGGTACGTGGGAGAAAGCAGAATATAATAGATTACCTGTAAACGGACACTCGTCTCGGGCGCACGAATGAGAGCTTCCTGTTTGATGTTAGACTATGCTCGTAGAATGGAGAGAGCGCAATGGAAAGGGTTCCAGTTCGACGGACGGGATCTTCTTCCGAGGCCTCCCACTGTAGTTCTTCGATCATCTCTGGGTCCGGGAGGGGCTCGTCGCGATCAAGAGTATCCACATGACCGATATCCCTTGCAATACTCAAGATGGGCCCGGTTGCCTAACGATTTTAGCTGAGAGTGGGGTGTAGTAGGGGGGAGGGGTGAAGAAAAGAGGTAAAAAAAGAAAGAAAGGGGAGGAGAAAGGACTGAAGTGTATAGTTCAGGTCCATCTTCCTAACCAATGTTCGAATCTCTGTCGCGCAGATTTAAATGATACTTTCCCGCAAGCGACAGGCAACAAGAGAAGGAGGGTGGAACAAAGTCGAACGACATGAAGCGAGGCAACTAACTTACCCGCTGATCGAGACGGATGGAGGACCATCCCACCTTGGTATCATCCACCACGTGAATCCGATCTAGAAAGGCGTGACAGGCAGTTTCAAATTCCTCGGCAGTGAGCAAAGGGAACCCCGATAAGGTCGGTCGACTGGAAAGAGAAGACGCCATACGACTGGTAAAGACGCGGTGTAATCTGACCACTGACCGACAGACAAGCGCTGCAGAAGCGTCTGCGTTGCAGAAACACTGGTTCTGTACGCCCCAGAGGACAGCGATCCAGTTCGTGAGGGATGTGGGTTGACTAACCAGTCCGTTCTCGGGGTTGGAGACCCTCTCCTGTTGCTTGCAGTATTTTTTTGTTTTCTTTTTTTACCTTTCTGATTTTTTTTACGTCGCAGCTGCGGGCGGGACATGTAACGAGTAAGTAGTTGTGTCTAGCTGGAGCTTTCGGATGACCCGACCAGGAGGGAGCGAGCCGAGCGCCGGAACGGGAAAGGGTTCCAAAGCAGTAAAAGATGGAACCATGGAACCAAGAAGGACTCAATCGGAGATGACCTGACTCGAAGGGGTTTCTATCTCTGAATCTTTGACCCATCTATGATACACCGATAATGAAAAGGGTAAATTTGAATGTTGAGAAGAGAGATCAATCCGGAAGATGGACAGTGCGGGGGGGTGGGTTGGAGCTGATGTCGGTGCTGTCGATGCTGACAGACAGGTCCTACTAGAACCGCATAAACATGATACTACTCTTACTTTCCCCAGCCATCTCCCTTTACTACTACTGTAGTATACGTACTCCTACTTCATGAGACTTGACTGAATGAACACGGATTGACAGACGGAGGGCGGGGCGGGGAAGCGGTGGAAACTAGGCAGAACAATCTAAACGACGCTAAAATACCGACATGACTAAACTAGAGCCGAACAACTAACTTAACTAGTGTATTAATTAACTAGTCAGTTAACAACAGCAGTAGTAACAAGTACTGCGTGCAGACTAACTTACGATCCAGTTGTTCAATAGGAGGCTATGGCGGTAGTGGTGGCGGTGGCTAATGGTAGTAGTATAGTAGTATAGTAAAATGCTCAAGTAATCCAAAGTCAAAAAAGTACACATGTCCGGAGTAGGTTACTTGTGCGATTGAATGGGAAGTACGGAGTACTCAAGGATAGCCTCGGGACGTACGGAGTAGAATACATAGATATTATTAACCAAAGACGGGATGTGATCGATTCTTTCAGCTTCTTCTATCCCGTAGGTGGAGGAGGAGGAGGTCAAGAACCAAGGATCCATAACTCGGAAAGGCGGGAACAGCATTCTCCTCCGTAACATCCTGACTACTTTCACTGACCAAGGTCCGGAAGGAAGAACTAGTCGCCTAGTTCTGCTTGCGGCCAGCCCAGCACCAATCAAGGCTCCATCGTCATCAAGCTTTCCACCCCTGGAGGGATCCACGGCTGGAGCTAAAACAGACGATGGTCCTGGCGATCCAAATGCGATCCTAATGAGGGTCGAACTAAGAAAAATTGTTTAATCCATAACTGGTAGGGAGAGCTTCTACCAGTCCCCCTAAGGGATAGCGATGAGAAACTAAGTAAGTAGATGGAAGTACAGCTAAACTAGCTGCTAAATAGCTAATAACTAACTACGTAGATAACTGCAGACACATCAGACAAACATCCGACGATGCATGGTATGATCATAATCCGTCAATGATAATCATGAGGAAAGGAATAATCAATCAACCTACGCATGGAATGAAATAATAGCTCAACGAAAGTAGACAAATTGAATTAACAATCTATAGTAGTAAACAAACTTACTGATTTTAGTTACTACGGAACAGAATGATACCCTTGATACCCCTCCCTCCTCATGCAGTCATTCGTTTCCCTTTCTTGCCTTCTTTTTAGTATTAGGTATGGTTATTATTTTAATTTTGTTAATTAATTTATTATTTTTTTCTTGGGTGCTTCTAGCGGGCGTCGCCGGTGCAATTCTTGCTTTGACTTGTCCGCTTTCAGGGATGGCGTTGTGTCCGAAAGTCTGAGTTCTGAAATGGCCACGCCAGTCCAAGGCTGACTTGACCGTCCATTCCCATGGCTCCATCCACATCCTTCTCCAATTCCTATTGTCGAAGAGGGTAAAAAAAAATTGGATGGTACATTGGCTGGCTGGTGAATAATGTCCGGGTGTGTTTGCTCTTTCTTAGCTCCATTTACTCTGACACCCTTATCCACATCTACATCCACATCCACATCCACACGGTCTCTCGCTCTTACACAATGATCTTGTCAGAAGCTGGTTCCCTTTTCCGACCGTCTGCAACCTGCCGATCCATTATCTCGTTCCCCATTCCGTTGTCCGTGAGAGCTACAGTTGCCTGTGGATAAACGCATTCGTCACTCTGGTGTCTTTCGTGCATCCTCAACCATGGCAGCCCAGTCCATCTCCACTCCACTTATGTATCTGATTTCCCTTACTTACCCCAGCTACGATTCTTAATCGATCTTTCTTTTCCATCCGCTTCATCCCATTCAACCCCGTGTTTTTGAATTTTATTCTTAATTTGGTTTTGATCTCTCTCTTTTTTATTATTTATCTTCTTATTATTTTATTCCTTTTTGTTCCCATCTTTATCTGGCCGACCAGGGATCGCGGTAATCTGATAATATTCTTTTTTTTTTTCCCCTTCTTGTACCTCCTTTGTTCTACTATTGCATAAAACATCCTCCACCACTCCTGGTTTCGTCGTCTTCCACCCTCCACTGCTACTCTTTCAGTACCTCTTCTCCTGACATCTCAATTCTGGCTGCCTATCTACCGTATAAAACAAATCAGGAGGGAGGAAACCCACTAGTTGGACGTGGCTGATTCCGCCCGTGCTGTATTTCCTTTTTATTACAACAGTTCATTGTCCTGTCTTTTCGTTTTGGGTAGCGCTTCCCTCTCGCTACCTATATAGTCGGCCGTCTTTGCTTTTCTTTGCCCCATCATCTAAATACGCTCTTCTGGTTCTTTACCAGCTTGAGGCGTCGCAAGTCAGCGCTTCGGGCGAAAGCTCGAACCAGTCCCGTCCAAAATTTTCCTCTTGTTTCCCTCTGCGTGATCTACTAAGTCTTTCAAATCAACCCGGGGTTGACGTCGTCGAAAGTTTTTGAAACCTTCCCTCGGCCTATCTACCTCATAGGCAGGAGCCTGGTGCTTCCAGCCTCGTTGGTACCCAAGTTTCTTCTGCAGGATTGACCACTGTTATGGCATTACCGGATTAAACCCTGAAGTGAACTTGTTTATCAGCCACTGGACGCCATTTGTTGAATTGTCTGACGTTGCGGCCTGCCCATGTCGGCCTCGCACCTTTAGGTGAGAAGATCAGATTCTTCTGAAACCTTCACTCCGGTTTTCACTCAAGAAGGAAGCCATGGGAGGCTACCTTTCAGTACAGAGCAAAGAAAAGCGTCGCCGCACCAATCGGCTTTCAAAACCGCCTCCGAATAGGGCAACGCTAGCTTCAAACAGCTTCCGCGCATCTCGTCAAACTTCCGGCACCAGCTCTCCTATAGAATGCCCTGCTTGTACTGCTTGGCAAGACCCTTGGACCGGAACTTCCATCTCCCTCCAGGCCCCTGAGCCCGATGTATGCACAAGGAGGTCGCAGTCTCTTCCATCTGCCTCCTATCGACCTGGGGAGCCATGGCCCACTCTCAGCAGGGCCCGAAAATGCCAGTCTATGGTTAAAGAGCCAGATGATCTTAGTCTGTACTCGCACGTTCCTACCGTCCCTATGCCAGACCCCGTTATGAGCGGTCAAGTCTCTCGCCGTTCTTCCAGACACAATAGCTTTCAGGCAACAACTCTCCCAAGCCGACCACAACCATTGATGGCACGGCCACCGCGACCAAGACGGGCGTATTCTGCGCATACTACACCTCAGAGGGCGCAAAGTACTATGCATCATAGTACAATCGAAGAGGCAACGTCTTCTAATACACTATTTAGGGTAGACAGCCAAGGATTTTCTCTCATCCGTCGACGATCGCTGCTAACACGGCCCGGGATCGCAACAAGAAGGCCAGCAAGAGATACAGCCCGAAGATTGTCATCACCAGTTGTACGGGAACCCACGATGTCACTCAACTATTTCAACGAGACATCTGCATTTCCAAGGCCGTTACCATCCGGTTACGAAGATGCTGCTGGACCACCTAGTCCGGTTACCCGGGTCCGTCCAGCAACACCCAATGAGTTCGAATATACTCATTTAGGGGCTCTCAAGTTAGGATCATTGCGTGTGGTAAATGGTTCTGCATCTCCATGCCCCAGTGACAGGACTCGATTGAACCGTCCCAACAGCCCGAATCCTGAACCTACTGGCATTCACACGCATGATACGAAGCCGGGACAGCCCCAACCCTATACCCACCAGGTGCCATGCCATATGGATCAGAAGCTGCAGTCAGCTTCTGAACGTGCAGACGAGCAATCCCACAATGCTGAGATTGTGCAAGACAGCGGACATGAAGTGGATCTAACCAGCTTTGATCTATCGAACATTCAGGATTATGCCTCTGAGAGTGCAATTGAGCAAGCCCGGAAAGCTGAGATCGTCCGGGACAGCGCACTTGAAAAGGTTGATCTAACCAGCTTTGATATCTCAAACATCCAAGACTATGCTCCGGTTCCAAGTAGCGATACTGCCCGTGTTCCAAAGTTACAGATTCCACCTACTGAAGTGGAAAAGCCTGACGATCACCCTGCAAGTCCATTTTCTTTCGAGAGATCTCCAGCAACCTCAACACCGTACAAACTTCGTGGTAGTGAAACAGAAGATGAAGGTATCTCTGTCGCTGATGAGGAGAAATGGTTTGTCCGCCAGCTTGAACGTTCCTTCCGAGACCACGGGCACCGAGAACTCCAAGGTGCTCATGGAACGGTTGACAGCGGATATAGTTCCGCAGCCTCCGTTCGTTCTACTAGACGATCGACTGATTCTCGCACATCCACACACCAACCTGCAGTGGCCCGCAGATTTACATTCAATGGTAATTCAAGGGACCGCGGGCTTTTGGATGCCAGGAATAGCCCAGAACTTGGCCACGAGCCCTCGGTACACCGTCATTCAAGCCTTCAGGGTCCATGGGCAAGGCCCAGAATTGACAGCTATGGCTGGCCGTCCCACAGATGGTCAATGTGTCATGACCTCCGACCGATGCCCCCCAAACCGCGCCTAAGGAGCAGTTCATTCGCGACTCCTCCGGAATATCGGCATACAATGCCCTACTCTCAATATTGCCACCAATTGAGGAGCCTCGATAATGCCTCTCCTAGCCTGTCAGTTGCCTCTGCAGATGCCATACCTCATCAATACCCCCAATGGGAGCATGTCGGAGCATTCTTAGCTTCATCGGAGAAAAGCTGGAAACAGCCCATGACTACAGTGACGGAGCACGACGTGCCGGGTAGCAGCAGCACGATGAGCACTGCGTGGCTACCAATGCCGAATATTGATTCACTTCACGTGCCAGTCCCAGAGAGCGTGAAAGGCTTGGATACGGGGAGACCGGTATCTGGACAGTTCAGAGGAAGAACTAGGAGCCGAAGTATTGAAAGTCAGCGGAAGAGGCTGACGAGGCATGCTAAACATCCAGATCTTTACAAGGCCGCTTCACCAACTATCTTTCGTTGATGCAATGGCTTTTTCCAGCTTTCTCATTCACTTGTGCGTCACTATTTGGCAGCATCCTTCCACCTGCATGATATGCCACCATTCCCTTTCCCTTTCGAAATGTTTCTTTTCCGATTAGTCTTGTGCTTCGGTGCCGGGGTTTCCACTTTGAAGTCTAACGGGCGGATATCTCCTTTACGGCGCCAACTTGGTCTTGGTTCTTCTGTTCATTCGTTTTTACTGCTCTGCAAATACCCATTTGGTAACCTGGATGATTGTTTGTGCTTCATTTATATAGTACTATATCAGAGTTCGACTGGCGCGGGAAAGTCTAGGCGTTTCCATTTTTTTGTTCGTGTTTACTGTTTGACATTTGATTTATTAACTATATTGGATCCTTCCCTCCGCTTGTACATATCTTGGAGTGGACAAGGAGAAAAAGCGACGTATACTCATCAATCTATCCCCGCTTTGCGGGCTTCCTGTATCGTGTGAACAATTCATCAGCGCCAAGTAGTATTACATAGCCGCAATAAGCTGCCATCTAGCCCAACAGTCCGAAACACCAAATGTAGCGGTGAGACCCCTTCTCCATCATCAATTGATGAGGACTGGGTCAAGTAAGATCTGGCGGTGTCCGTGCATTCATACCCAGTTAGCTAGGCTGGTTAGTCTTACCTTGTGATCCAAAGGATCGGGCATGCTTACAATCAAGCGCGTAATCCAAGGCGGAACGACGCCCAAACGACCGAGACCACCTGGCATATGTCGAACCCAACCCGATCGAAAGCTGCATGTGCATACAGGGAGTAGGTAAGTAGCTATCTTCTTACTTGTAAGCAAGCAGTTCCAAAGAAGATGTTACACATCTGATAGATGTATCCAGACCGTGACTGACAAACATGCCACTAGTGAGTTATCTGAGAACTTAGTTTTAAGAAGAGAATTCCAGCAGCTAACTAGTTACGTGTAGTACATATTAGCTAATCGTACACACAAAGTTTCCCCCCAAATTAACTATCTATCTAGTATGGAGTAACTACTGTTAACTACTGTGTAAATCGTGGAGCCGCAGACCTGCCCGCCCGCAATGATTCTCATCCCATCGTACCCACGGGTGGGGAGCTTGCATCTTGCATGCATAATATTGAAGCAAAATACTTGAAGCAACCACATGTGCTTGGGATTACGCTCAACGCAAGGGTTAAAACCTTCTTTTCTTCGGTCTTATCTCACATTACTTGTAATATGTAGGTTTTTGTTTTTTGTTGACTGCAGTTTTGCATAGTTACGGAGTATTGTCCAGGGTACTTTCAATTTAAAGTTACGGAAAGACTAGTTCGTGGGATTTAGTGGTATGCCATTGCCATTTTGACCTATGGATCTGATATCTGATGCCTTCGGTACATACTTATGTATGCCTCGTGCATAAATGATGTGCTTTCGCTGGATTATTGTGCGAGGTGTCTAGTAATTAGGATGGTAAGCGCTTGCAAACTCAATTAGTGATAGTACTGGCCGTGGTAATAAACATACTTAGGTAATAGTATCTACAGTAAGTAGAGACCAAGATGATAAATCGGACATGTCTACGAAATCTCTGTCGTAGGTGATGATGCTGTCAGTCGGTATCTTTCGTTCATACTCGTATTCTACGAGGAGCATATGTAAGAAAATTTCAATATTCATTATATGTCATCGCATGATAACTTAGTATAATACATGCAGAAAATGAACAATCATTCCAATGTACTCCTGGCCCACAGAACCCCATCATAATGCAGGTGCAGAAACATTCATATCATTGCGTGAACTGGCAGAAGATCGTATGGCCATGGTAGGTAAGTCAAGAAGAAAACAGAAAATGTCGCAGAGTGGAAACCGATGCTAAGAAAAATCCGAGACGATAATTATCGATCGCTTTACTCGAGGCGGATCTTCTTGACCTGAGGGGCAGGCTCCTTCGGGATCTGTAGCGACAAGATTCCATTTGTCAGGTTGGCCTTGACTGCATCTTGATGCACTCTAGTCGGGAAGGTGAATGTGCGGTAGAATTCGCCAGTCTGGCGTTCGGAAACCCAGTACTTGGAGGTTGGCTCGGTTTGTTTCTGTGAGACCAGCTGCGTGGGGTGGCTATCCGAGGACTTGGTTGATTTGTTGTCTTCGTCTTCATCGTCATCCTCAACTGTCGGCTGGTGTGACTTTGTCGGCGATGTTTGACCCGCTGTCTGAGGGGTGCCCACTTCATTCTTCTCCACGCGACCTTTGATGACCAGAGTGTGTGGATCAGAGAATTCGATTTCAATGTTGCTCGGCTCGGCCCCAGGAAGTTCGCCTTCCAAGTGATATACGTTGTTCACCTCATAGACATCGAATTTCGGAGTGAATGAGCGGACGGGTGTGGCCTTCCTGTTCTTGGGGCGGCTAGACCGGTGGACATCATAATCGTCCAGAAGTTGGAACAAGGGTGCGAAGTCACCGGCAAATCGAGGGAAGTAAGCCATTGTTTGTGGTTTTTTTGAGAATGTCAAGGGTGTTTGATGGAAGCTAATGATCTTGGAAGAAGATAGCTGCGGTTTTGGATCGTTGATAAAGAGGATATGAATGTCTCTGATTTATCTTGTGATGAGATTGGATTGATTCTGAGTACAGACAAACATGTTAGGCTGGTTAAATCCCATCCTTATATTCCTGACCAGAGGATTTCTAGAAAACGCCATCATCCAACTTTCTCTGTCATACAGAAGCGAGCCGAGCGTTCTGGCAGATGCTGGAGGCGACAGCGATGGAGCGAGATGACACCAGATGCATCTGGAGCCTTCCGTCACCGACCCGATAAGATAAGCGGCTTACGGTTCGAGAACCCGCGCGAATCTTCCGCAATCACGTGACATACGAGTTCATCCCTAGGAAGTGAGCTTTCAAAAGTTGCATCATAGGGAGCAAAAAGCCATGCTATAATTCGTTTACTGGGCCATTCACCTACATCCAAAGGAGGAGGGTTCGTTTTTTGAATTTCTGGGGCGGCCCCGCAAGCGACAGGATATTGAAATCACCGAATATTGCGAATCCCGGGGGATGAGTACATCTCAAGCTGCCTCTGCCCCTTCCGTAGTAGATACTCTATCGCACCGAAATCCTTCTTGCTAACAGAGGAGTTCTTCCGAAATTCCGCCCTGTTTCGAGATTAGCACACTGTAGAGCGAGCATGCCAGGAGACCAATTTCTTCGATTAAGAGCCCCGACTAAGGAACGCACCTAGCATATGCTCTGAAATTCTCTCTCGTCTCCTAGTTACCGTATATGAAGTAGCAGAACTAATCAGCCCAAGTTCGTTGGCTAGCCAGTGAAACAAAACTTTGACAGCGCGACGAGGTGTTTGCTTACAATGGGTTTCTTCCTGGCTTCTCTCAAGCATGTCCGATACAGAGACAGCACCTGTCTTTGGAGACCTGACAGCCGAGCCATTGGATCTATATAGTCGTTGCAAACTGGAGGAAATCCCGAGTGCTAGTAGTGGTATAGCTGCATCACCGGACTGAAGAGTTCAGAAGTTCGGAAATGCAGAGCATGCTTACTGGTAGCTTGTTCGGCTTTTTCCCCGGGGGCTGCCGATCCGCTTACCCCATACGTAGTAGCCGAGCTGCTTTCCCCTTCCGGCCGAGAATCCTGGAGCCGAGGAGCTGGAGAAAACCCCCTCTTCGTTATCTAACTATTTCCCGTACTAACATTAGTAACTACGTAGTCAGCTATCGGCATAAGAAGTGCTGGTGGGAGCTTCGTCAGACCAAACTCACTCTTGGTCTTGGAATACAGATTTATATCACCTCCTAGTTAGACTCCAGCTGCTATTCATCATACTACTAAACTTCATTTACTCTTGACATACTTTATCCGACTACTACTATATACACCGGGTGTCATCAGTATCTACTACTATTAGCACCTTTGATCGATATGGCCACCTTTTCCGTGAGTCCATATCCTTTCCATTGGCCCACTCCTTCTTTCAAGAACTGATAATGTGTCTCATGGCACAGCGTCTGGTTCGTTTCTTGGCCAAGGACGGCCAGACTTATTATGGAGACGCCCTATTGTCAGCAGGCGTGAGCGACATTGCCCAAGCCACGAGAGCACGGGTTATCCGAGGCGACATTTTCGGACAGCACCAAGTCACAGACCAGATTGCTGACATCAAAATGCTCCTGGCGCCATTGGCAAGAAAGGACATTGGGACCGTGCGTTGTCTGGGACTCAATTATGAACAACACGCCATAGAGTCAAACCTACCCTTGCCCAAATTTCCAGTTCTCTTCTACAAGCCGGTCACCTCTGTTACGGGGCCTACAGATGACGTCCCAGTATCCCGCATGGCCCAGCAGGGTGAGGGTCTAGACTATGAGTGTGAATTGGTTGTCGTTATTGGCAAGGAAGCTAAGAATGTGCCCGAGAGCCAGGCTCTGGACTATGTTTTGGGTTATGCCGTTGGAAACGATGTCTCTCATCGTGAATGGCAGTTGAAGCATGGTGGAGGGCAATGGGGGCTGGGCAAGGGCTTCGACGGATGGGCGCCCTTTGGACCAGGTATTGTATCTTCGAAGCTAATCCGTGATCCCAACAACTTGCAGATCTCGACAAAACTGAATGGCCAGACGGTCCAATCATCATCCACCAAGGATATGATCTTCAATGTGGCCAAGACAGTGTCGTTCTTATCTCAGGGTACCACCTTGTTGCCCGGGGATGTAATCTTTACAGGAACGTAAGTTAGCGCTTATTCGCTCCTTTCGCACTTAACTACCATGCACAAGGCTGACTTCTTCAGACCCCAAGGTGTTGGTATGGGTCGAAAGCCGGCGCTCTGGCTCAAGGATGGTGATTTAGTCGAGGTTTCTCTTGAGGGTGTCGGATCATGCCTGAATCGCGTTGTCTTCGACAAGCCCTCTTCGAAGCTCTGAATCAATAATAAAAGGAACAGGTGGCGCAGGGCTTATCGGGTGTAACAAGGACCGTCAGGAGTCCCTTGAACGATGTGGCATCCCGACCACCAACCATTACGACTACTAATTTGTGCATCTTCATATATATAGCGCCCTACAACCAAGACACGTTCGCAGTGACTTCACCATACGTACTTTGTTGGATTTGTTCTATTACTCAAGTGGCACAAGCATGTAATCAAAGCCATATCCTAGTTGACCTGAGCCCCATATCCCTTGATGGTCTCGGCGAATGCCCAGCTCTGGGCTTCAACTTGCTGGTCCTCCTGGATCTCAACCCCCTCCTCAGTAATCACAGCTAAGGAGTACTTGTCCAGACTCCGCGCATCACGGTACCAGAGAACCTTGATACATTCCCTTAGCGCCGCCACGGCCTCATCCTTGGTGATTGACTCAATAGGCCTTTCCTCTGGGAACAGCCGGCGAAGGATTGGGACGGCAAGATGGGCACCAAAGCCGGTCGCGAGATGCGGAGCCGAGAAGGTGGTCCCCAGCAGATCCGCTGAGCTGAGGAATGGCTTCTTGTCTCCATCGAACCCGGCCACCAAGACGTGGTTCCAGAGGGGGTTGAACTCAGAACGGCGCTTGTAGAAGACTTTCGACAAATAAGTATGAAGATTCTTGGCGTTCAACGTGTTTCCGTGGGTAGAGTAATTCTCTCTGATGTCGATGGACTCCAGTAGTCGGTCAATATACTGCATATCCGAAACGTCACCACTGAATCCGATGATGGCAGAATCGCCAAACTTGCGAAGTCGTTTCACGTCGGTGAAGCGGGCAAGGGACCCGTATGATGCTATATGAAAGATTGGCCGTCAGCGAAAGTGTGACTTTAGTCTCCAAAATGATTCTCAGCTATACCTAGGTTATCGGCAGCAATGGCAACTCCGCCGTTGAACTTGACTGCCACTACCGACGTACCAGTCACAGCAGGTGACTGAGTGTGGGTTTTCGGGCCAGTTGTCTGGAGGTATGAGGCGTTGTAGGGTCCGTAAACGTCATCCCTAGGCTTTCAGCACTTTTGTTAGCGACATCATTAATCTGATGCGATGATGCTCTTACGCGACCCCAAGCTTCGGGAAAGTGATTCATGATGGGCGATTGGAACGATATTAGAATGGATGATTGTATGTATTTTCACTGTGTATACCGGAAAATGTGGTTTTGATGTGGAAGTTCAAAGTGATGCTTGAGAAGGAAATAGTAGCTTGTGATGATATCGACGCTGTTCTGGGGTCGGGTCGGTAGGCAGTAGAGCTGACGGAGCTCATGTTACGTGAGCAATGCTATCACCTCCCGCCGCGCCTATCGGAGGCCAACACACGCGCTTAGCGAAAATTAGATACTGCCAAGTATAGCCTAACAATAGTCCCTACAAAAGCAATGTGAAATGCTCATAGATATTTTACTTGCGTCTTACTTATTTCCAGATTCCAACTAATTGGATGAGGTGCCTTTTTGAGGGGCGGAGGAAGGGATTTTTGGAGATTGGCCCCTTTAAAGATGACAGAGTCCTTCCTACTACTACAGTAAGAAAGAGTCGTCCCTGCACGATGACGGGTATCTCACTATTGCTACGTTTTCGGTTATTTGACCCTAGAAATAGACGTTATATAGTCATTTCGTGAGAGAAAGTCTATCATCAGCAGATAACTTTCCTTTCACAAAGTGGCCTCCTATCATAGGCTTTGGGATCGGAGGGCCTTTCTTTGCTTCCCAAGCATTGTACGCCTGGTCATACTGTCCCAGCCGTCATTGACAGTGATACTTGCACTCTGAACTATCCATCGTATATTACCTTTGTTTCGGCCTTGAGCTAGGAATAGGGCCTGCACGGGAGAACTCGCTAGGCGTGGCAGGCACAAAGTTGATCGCATCCCTTTGTCCTGCGGACTTCTTTTCTTCAGCCCTATTCTGAATTTCCCTTTGCGCTTTTAGCAGCTCCTCTTTATACCCCCAACTTGGCAGATCGCTGATGTTCCATATTTCAGGTGGTAAAGATGTGTGATATTGTGCTTGTTCATCAATGCCGGCATGGTCCATCATCTTCTTCAGTAAACTGGGGTTTTTGAGGGATGTAGACCCGGCGAGCTTCTCGTTAAAATGCATGCCCTGTTTCTTTAGGGTCAAGAAGTGTGCGAATTTGGCATTTGCTGCAGAGTTAGGAGAGCCAGGGGGAGATGGTGGGATGTCTAGATTTGGTATCGGAGGAAGTGTTAGGTCATGGATTAATGTTCGGTCCGCTGAGAAGACTTGTGAATGTTCGGCTGGTTGCTCTTGCGGATTTTGTGAGCCTTCATGCGTCGGCCCAAGAACAGGCCTGTCTGTGTTTGGAACAGGTATATCTTTCGATGGTGTGGCTTCATTGGCGGTTTCTGCTTTGGTAACATGTTAAATAAGTCCTACTAGGTTCAGAGACAAGTAGGTTATATCTCCAATCACCTGTAGCTTTTGTCACTTCCTGTGGCTGCGCTTGCTGGCTTGCGATCTTCTGCCGGGTTCATATTAGTAAACGCCGATAACACAGCATAATGCTCCAATTACCTTCGAATGTACTGAGGGCAAATTATTTTCCACCTCTTCGTCACTGCTGCTTTCATACGCTCCTAAGCCAAGCATTATAACTGGGCGTCAGTTCCTGGTGCGTTCCGGGTTTCGGATAAGCCAATTAAGCTTCAAAGATAAAGCGCCCGTGTGAGAATATGAATTATGAGGAGGCGTAGGAGTTGGACATTAGACTCAAATAAGACAACGCTAATTCTTTAGATAACCTGGAGACAGCAGTTCACTCCGCGGTAACAATTGCTCCCAGACCATGACGGAAGCTGTGCGTGATTATATAAGCAGAAGGCAGCTACAACACCGCGTCAGATGCTCAGCAACAGCTCAGCTAGAGGTCCTACTACTATTCACCTCTACAACTACCTACATAACGAACACCCTCCGCTACATCCACAGTCATTAGACGACCAGAGTATAGCAAAAGCTTCATCGCTTCATCCTAATTGATACTATCTACGCATTCGAACTCTACGAAGAATGACGACTCTTGCCGGCAACCCTCTTAGCGAGGCCATCGGATACTCCTTCTCCAATGCGAACAGTGCTCCCCACAGAGAGCACTCTTTCTATCCGTATGCATCACTGTCTTCACTGTATCATAGGTATGGAGCTAACTTACAACGGCAGTTATACGGATAACGGCGGCTCTACCTTAGGCATTACTGGCTCCGATTTCGCGATCCTGGCTGGAGATACTCGATCCGTTGCAGGATACAACATTAACTCTCGTTATGTTCCCAAGGTGTTCAAAATTGGCGGTGATGACGAGTCTGGCGAAGGTGCCAACATCGTCTTGTCAGTCGTGGGTTTCGCAGCAGATGGCCAGGCCCTCAAAGAGCGACTAGATGCAGTGGTGAAGATGTACAAATACCAACACGGAAAGCCCATGTCCGTGAGAGCCTGTGCCCAGCGCTTGTCAACAATTCTTTACCAGAAACGGTTCTTTCCCTACTATGTGCATGCTATCTTAGCGGGCTTGGACGAGGATGGTAAGGGTGCCTTGTACAGCTACGATCCGGTTGGCTCGTACGAGAGAGAGCAATGCAGGGCTGCAGGGTCTGCAGCAAGTCTGATCATGCCGTTCCTGGACAACCAGGTCAACTTCAAAAACCAATATATTCCGGGTAGCGGGGAAGGGCATGCCCTTGAGCCCAAGAAAGCGGAGCCACTACCAAGAGATACTGTTGAGCAGCTGGTGCGAGATGCATTCACTAGCGCCGTCGAAAGACATATTGAGGTCGGAGATGGCTTGCAGATGATGGTTATTACCAGGAGTGGGATCGAGGAGATTTATTATCCGTTGAAGAAGGATTAGGCATACCGGGGCCCATTCTAATCAATGCTTCACCAGCCTAGTTTAGTGTTATACTCTTGCGATAATTTTCTGAATATGAATAGATAAAATATCCAGTGGAGTATTCCTTCCCTCGTTTCTGTGTCGTCATATCCATTATACTCTATCCAGATCATATGCCACAACCCCTAACGCCGATACCATGTCATAAAAAGAAAGAGAATAGAAACAAAACTCTGGTAGAGACAGAGACCGTAGTTCCCATGATGCTGACGGTTGGTTCTTTTTTTTCCCCTAAAAACGCTCCTTCATGCGAGAAGCCACCTTACGAAGGTTCCCATACACTTTGCCCTATTGAGGAGTTAGCAGCTGTTGCATCATCTGAGACGACAATTGACAGGGTCGGCACAAGGTTACTGACCGGTGGACTGCCAAGAATCAAGCTAACAATGGCCTGTTGGGCACAGTCGACATTCTTCACTGCGCCTAGCAGGTGAATCTTCTGGTCTGCAATGACAATTCTTGTCCGAGTAGCGTTCTCTATCGCAAACTTTGTTCGCCCATCTTTACCAGCACAACGTCCAATTGCACGACTAAGGTGCTCTCCGTTGAGGGCTTTGATATCCCGAATCTCAAATGAACGTATGTAAAGATCATCCAACCTGAGAAGTGCGATAGCGTCGTCGACATCGAATCCAAGAGTAAAAGCTTTGACGAAATCCTCGCCCTTCTGCAGGGCTTCCGTATCGGTCGTGAATCGTGACGTACGTAGTTCCACAGCTCGATTCTTGATGTTCATGCGCACTTGAAGTTTGAGGTGTTCGACAAGCGGGGGATAGATGCGTGCCCAGCTAGCCTTCAATGGAGTCATCCTATGCGGTGGTACAGGAACCTTCCTGCTTTCAACTCGATATACCCTGCTAGTGTCTTTGGCTGGCGTGAAGAGGGGCCGTCCCTCTTCGTCGATACGCATATCGCTGTCTTGAGTGGGCTCGATCTCAGGCGCGAGTCCTGCAGTAACCTGATCTGCCGACGTTTGGGCGTCGATCAAGATTTCCTCATCTTGCTCTGGAAGACGTTAGAATGGCCACCCGGTCGGGTTCCCGTAAAGCGTTGGCGGGGACTGACCTGACATAGTAGGCGCAGCAAGCGTCTCTGTCATTTCTACTTCGGCATTTTGCCGTAAAGCTGTGGGTGCAGGCATGTTTCTGTGAGTGGGATCTGAATACTCGACGGTTTAGGCTGCAAATCAGAGTCGGAGTCCGTTATCACAGATTTTACGGTCTATGGAAAAGATGTGTGGTTATAGTGTGAATTTGTGAATTTTCGATGCAAACATTACAAACAGGACCCGCTCCTGTTTGAGGCGGGATGATTTCATGGAAATTTATTCGCGGTCCGCCTGGTTAGATAGCACCGTGCTTCTGCCCGGTGATTTGAGACGCATGCACCTGTCATCCCTGCTATACATCTAATAACCTGGCTTGTTTTGCAGCTTTCTGCTCAATACCAGAGAGGATTCTCTACTGCTTACCTGCCTTCCCAGATTGTCCAGCATGTGACGGCAATCATGTCTGGCTATCTCGGGCGCAGGTTGTACACCAACTTATGGGGAACAACGGAATCAATATTTGGATATGGATTGCGAGAAAGGCGCGTGTCGTGCCTATCATATAAAACAAACACAGAAGACCTCAGTGCTGGCTTTTGCAATTTGCATATTGCGAAAGGATATAGCTCACTTTCACGACAACCGACTCGACCTATCAGAGGATTTGCTACCGTGGGCTTTGTACATGGCGCCTCCGATCACACTGCAGCCAGGGCAAGATACGCCATCCCTTTAAAGGGTTTGATACCGCATAGGATCTTTACACCGGGAAGAAAAGGCTTGGGTATTGTCTCCTGGCTTACGATTACGCGTGATTTTCATACGAGCCCAGATGATCGGAGAACGACCGAGTTACGGAAGGATTCCAAAAATCATAATGACGGCCGCCATCATCCTGACAGGCTCAGTAAAGGTTCCGAGACATCCATCAAAGATAAAAGTCAGATCTCCGAGCCGCAGCTACCTGAGCTTAATCAAAAAGGGCAAATAAACCGCCATCTCAGGGACCGATTGCCACATATACCGCACTTGCACCGGCCCACGAAAGAAGAATTGTTGGCTGCAGCTAATGGGTTCTGGTCACGACTTAAGGTCCGGTTCAAGTGGTTCTCTATACGAAGTGTCAGGCCTTTCAATCTGGATGAAATAACCGCTCTCTTCTCATGGGTGCTCTTGGGACATGTGGTTTGGGTAGTCTTGGGTACTACCACTTTCTTCTCATTGCTTATCATTGCGATTAATACCGTGTTCGCCCAAGGTAGGCCCGAAGTGGTTCT